AGGGTTTAGGGTTTAGGGTTTAGGGTTTAGGGTTTGTGGTGTATGCAGAGGTTTCGTATTTCTGGGGTTTTTCATCAAGTTGAATTCCTCCACTCAAAGCTTTCAGGCAGAAAAAAAATTTTTCTCGATGGGCGTTTAATCTATGCTCAGCAACAGTAAACCCTAAACCCTAAACCCTAAACCCTAATTTTTTTTTATTCATAGTTCTCGCGGGGCATGGTAGCAACTGCAGCAATCGTAGCAGCAGCAGCAGCAAAAACAGCAAATGTAGCAGAATCAGCAGCAGCAGCAGCAGCAGCAGCAGAAGCAGCAGAAAAGCAGCAGCAGCAGCAGCAGCAGCAGCAGCAGCAGCAGCAGCACGAGCAGAAGCAGCACCAATAGCAGCAGCTGTATTTGGTCATTTTTTTTCGTTTTAAGTTTATATGAATTAATAAATAAACAAATAAAATAAATAAATTAAAATATATAATTTTAATTAACTAAACTTTTTAAATAAACAAAACAAATAAAAAACAAATAAAAAAAAATAAAATATTTTTTTTTTTAGGTTACGGTGTGGAGGGTTTGAGTTTTCTTGGCCCCTGCAAGGTCACCTCTGCAGCCTCATATACGACCCGCAGCTCAAGGGTTTTGCGCTCCGCATCAACGGGCTTGCGTTTCAGCTCTTCTATAGACGTGAGGGTTTAGGGTTTAGGGTTTAGGGTTTAGGGTTTGGGGGGAGGGGAGAGGGGAGAGGGGAGAGGGTTTAGGGTTTGAGGGGAGGGTTCAAGAGGTAGGGGGTAGAGGGGTGTGCATAGAAGGTTTATGTAGAGGAGGGTTTAGGGTTTAGGGTTTAGGGTTTAGGGTTCGGGGCTGTGCTAGTGGACTAGAGGTAAGAACATGCATGCATGCATGCATGCATGCATGCATGCATGCAACAAACACATGCATGCATGTATGCATGCAAAAGACGCATGCATGCATGCATGCGTGCACGCATGCAACAAACGCATGCATGCATGCGTGCATGCATGCAACAAATGCATGCATGCATGCATGCATGCATGCATGCGTTTGTTGCGATGCAGCGGGAGCCATCCTTGACGCCCCCGCGCGCCCGCGTCCAGTGGTGCAGTCTTCACCTGTTGCTGCTGTTGCTGCTGATCCTGCTGCTGCTGCTGCTGCAGCTGCTGCTGCTGCTGCTTCTTATGCTGCTACTCCCATTCCTGCGGTGCACTACGGCCACTACCAGCAGCAGCAGCAGCACCGACCTCATTCCTATTCACATCCACACCAGCAGCAGCAACTGCAGCAGCAGCAGCAGCAGCAGCAGCAGCGG